AATGCACCAACACCGAGCTTATAGTTTTCCCCTTGTGAAAACCTACTCTAATTTTAGCCGTATTCAGTACCCTTCTAATGACTTCAGATGTCCCTGCTTTGTATAGAATGGCCGCTGTTCCAATCCACTCCTTGTTGGGTCTTGGTGTTGGCACCAATACCCGCCTTAGTTTTTACTTAATTGGACCCACTGAGTATCCGCCATCTTGAAGTTGCTTTTTATCTCAATTTGTGCTGCCCTTCGGTCAACCTCCACTTTACACAGTGCTCTCACTCTCCTAAACATCGCTGAGGCTATGCTAGCATATACTGCTTTTGGATGTGCAGAGGGTAGTCTAAGTGTTCAGATGTTGAAAGAATTCGTTCACCTTATCCCGCTTTATTACAACGAACGTGTCATCTAACTAACGCCAGAACACCCTTGGTGGACACTCGAATCCGTTTAAAGCTTTCTGTTCGCAGTCTTCCATGTACATGTTGGCCAAAATCGGAGATATTGGTGATCCCATCGCTAAACCTTGTTCTTGAGTGTATACAACTGAGTCAGAAACAAAATGACTGAGGTTTAGGCATACTTTTATGCCTTCAACTATCTCGTCTACGGAGAGTTGCGTTCGTTCCTTCAGCATTGTGTCTGCCAGTAAAAGTCTTCTCGCCACTTCCACAGCGTCCGCTCTAGGGACGTTGGTATACATCGAATTGACGTCAAAACTAGCCAGGACTTCGTCTGGCTCCATCTGAAGCCCAGCTACTTGGATGTGTGTGGGTGACTTTCCGGCAAGTGGTTTAAGGATACCTGCTAGATATCTGGCCAACTGATATGGTGGTGAACCTATGCCATCCACTATTGGGCTTATGAAGACACCTTCCTTGTGAATTTTCGGTAACCCGTACAGTCGTGGTTGGATTGCACTTTTTGGGTACAATTGATACCACTTGCCTTGCCCCAGATGGTTTATCTCAGATCTCAGATACTTCCCAACTTCAACTTTACTCTTACTACTCATAATTGACGTGATCTTTCCGTTACTACTTTGTCGATAAGGACCATCAGCTATGTGTTGTCTAACTTTATGAAGATAGTCACTCTTATTCATGACGACTGTGGCCTTGCCTTTATCTGCCTTTGTAATTACTATGCTATCTACATTTTTTAACGTGTTTAAGGCTCTTCGCTCAGCTGGTGCAATATTTGGAACCCCTGGTTGCTGGGACTTCAGGACTGTGACCAACAATACACGTAATTTTTCCGCTTCCATTGAAGGAAGCTTCTGGAATACAGACTCAACACTAGGGACGATCTCTTCTGCCCTTATAACGCCTTTACTTACTGCAAAATTCAATCCTTTCTCTAACAGACACCGTTCCTCTTCACTTAAGGGTCTATCTGATAAATTGACTACGCTACAATAGCTAGTGGATGACTTACTCTTCTCTGCTGTGTTACTAGAACAGCGAGTGGTAGAAAGCAATTTCTCGAACTCACGTATTTGTCTGTCCTTACATTGTTTACCTTGAGCTGATTTCACTTCCTTCGCTTTGGTATCTAGTAATTCGAATTCAGTAGGTGAGAGTGCCGACTGAAGATCATCCCTGAGACGACATGCGCAGTGGCAATATCAGTTAAACTTTGGGTGGTTAAATGGATCCTCAGTTTAAGGATGACTTGGTTCGCTGAAGAAGCAATTCGAGCATAAACGGGGGACGCATCTGGTGGCTTAACAACCAGAGATTTGGGAATTATGTTGTGCTTCATGCATCTAATGTTGAAAATCCGATGGTTCTCCCAGTTTGCCTCCAATCTTGCCAATCGAACACCCAGCACTAATCACGTCACTAGCCATAAGGAATCTCACGGATTGGTTCCCTGACTGCCTTAAAACCCAATCAACCTACTTACTTACTCACTTGGCCTGACGAAGCTTTTGTGTCAAAAGCGAAACGATGCCCAGCAATAAATCCACCGATTGTTTGCCAAACCCCTCTGAAACGATGACTTCCCAATCGGTCCCAAACATTTTCCAATTGATTCAGATAGCCTTGTTTAATTCATTTGGTGCACACCGTTCACAGCAACCCGACTAAGGGGCGCATTATTAATGTGCTGGAATTATAGGTCTTACTCTTCATTGAGGAATCATTCTGAACAAGAGTTACCCAGTGGTCCATGACGTACAAACTCAGATATCGACCACAATTATGGTTGTTAGTTCAATCCACCAGAACGTTCTCTCATGTATGGCCCAAAATTTAACAGAATTCTAATGCAACCGTAAATAACGGATACCTGAATTCGGATGCGTTGGCGTTTTTTAGCAGTTTTTGTAGATGACAATACGTATCATGCACCTCATTTTTTGGTACTCCCTTGGAAGAGACCATCTTGGTACTAGGTATTTTTCTTACGAACATGTAGGACAAAACAAATTTTTTCTTTCTATAGTGATCATCCACTAATGAGACTGTTTTTGGCCGCATAGTTGAAGACGGACTAAGGATCTTTTGTCCTCAGGCTTTTCTTCATGCAAACTGAGTACCACGATCACGTTTGATCGTTTTAGGTTGGTGCCGACAAGACAGTTCGTCTACATTAACCAGGGCTGCAGTAACCGGATTGCCCGATTTTTTAAAGGGAGCCAGCAGAACGAACACATGTTTCGCCAACTCTTCGTCACGAATGCCATGAGCCTAAATGAGCGTGAAATCAGTGGCGAGTTAATACAGCAAAACACATGGCTTTTAGGTGATGACAGATTTTGAGGTGAATTGTGCACAATGGCTATCTATGCTTTCTAGGTTTTCAGTGGCAAATTGTCTACAAAATTGGCCAGCTTTTATCAGCCAATTTATTTTGGAATTCGGTGGCTCAGAATCAATATTATTAGTTGGGTCGTGGTTAACTGAATGTACAAGGATGCGGATGGTCCTGTGCCGACAACACGATGACTCATTTGGGCATTGTGTAGTTGAGGGGTATACAGACTGGCGTTTGTCGCAAACTATGTCAGTAGATTGGGACAAATCCCTTAAACAGTCATAGGTTACTTCTTCTTGTTCAGACTGTAAATAGAATGTTTAAAACTTCGAACACCCTGTTACAGTAGTGTTACCTGTTACCACGTCGACGTATCCATTCTACGATTTTGATTTGAAAAACTCAGGTTAGTGTTGCATTCCCCTTGAGAATAAGCGGCACATAAGACCAAATTCCCATCAACTAATTGGCGCTCATCTTCGAAAGAGAGTAGTTGAAAAACATGATGTGTTTTACACATAAATGTGGGAAATAAACTCGTACACTAAACCCTAGAATGTATCGACCAAAGCAATTCGTAAAGTTCATTTTCTGAGTTTGTTCACACAGGATTGTTAGTGACGTCAAATTATGATTTGACCAAGAATATAGTTGACGATTCATTTTGGTGCTCATGCGAAAGATTAGTTTGCCAGCACTGGTGGGTCAACGAATAACCATGGCTAATATGCTGTACCACTGTGCCTGGATCACTCTCTGTGAAGGTGTTCCACCAAGGCTTTCAAAAGAGCATCCTGTTGTGACTGTAAGCTTTTAATAAACCTGGACAATTTCCGAGCAATGTTCAGTATCGGCAGAATTTCTCAGCACTTCTGTATTTTGTCTGACATAAATGTCTTTTGCATATCGCTGATAGAGCTTGGCGTCAGCTTGACTCTTCCTGTAAGGACGCAATGCCAACACATCGACTCCGTTATTTATCGCTTTCACTTCATTACACACCTGTTCTGCCAACCTCGAGAAGTTTCTGTATTATCATCATTTTTGTGTTGCTTATTTCTAGTTTGTTCTCGAACCACATGTTTACTTAGAGCAGCGGTTTTACTTGTGGACGCAAGTCTAGGCGTAAGTCATCAGGGTCAACAGGCCGAATGGCACATAAATTCGATTACCTAAAGTTCCACCGAGCATCTAACGTTATCTCGTTATGTAAAAAAACTTTATCTCAAACTGCGACCGTGTAACAATGCAGGTTTATAATATCCTTTGATCGATGACTTTCATTAGCGTTCCTGGACCGACATAGGTTACCAAAGTAATGAAGCAAAAACAGTAACAGTCTAAATATGAATGCAACATATTATCAAACAATGCAATGACACAGTTTCTTTGGAGAAAATCTGATGCTGCCGGCTCGATATGACTGACCAATATTTATCACTTCTAGAAACCAGCCTTCAGTTTATTTTTCTGATATTGGAGTTTGGCACCTTTGTACATGCACCTTGGTAGTGTAATTCATCCAGTCGATGATGGAATAAGACAAGCACTTGGCCTGTCTTGAACTTTAATGTGATGAACAGAAACCACCTCCTGATTATGTGAAGTGCTTTTTATTGTACTTTTTAAAACCTATTCTCTAACTTATTCATAATGGTGAGTCGTACTATTTGATATTTAAATTACTGGATATAAACCTCATGGTATAGCTAACTGTTAATCATTGCGAAAGCACCCAATCCTTGAGAGTTGAAATTAATCCTTCAGACGAAACTTGGTTCGTTGTATGAGGAACTCACAGAACTCTTAAACTTATATAATCGATCAGGTTGGGCTTGCATGATCAACAGTTGTGATGTAGTTCCCTTACAGACTCTGCGTGACGAGAAATTTGCTGAAGGCTATGGAGACACTGGAGGTAAAAGCGTTCGAAATCAGAGCAGTCAACCTTGTACTCCTTATTTAGCCCATCTGACTTTTAGTGGACATATGTCAACAGTTGGCCGAGAAGAAATGACTGTCATAATTCAAGCAGTTAACCTGAGTGAACTGCTAATGTAAACCTGACATACGATACAAATAGTTTGTTTTCGGCATACTCGCGCAAAAGGGTTGATTAACTTGATACCCTATAATACGCCCATTTTATACCTGGAATCACATTCAGTCCCCTAAAGAGCTTGGAATGTCTAACAAAAAAATTGGGATCTCATCTTGATTGCCCCCACAAATTACAGGAGCACAGGGAACATGGAGATGTCTAAATGTCAATTAAACTGAAAATGACTAAGTGTTTATCGGAAACAATGACCGGAAGGTAGCACTATCTGTGTCGTCTACATACTGGTCAAAATCATCGCCGATCGGAGTGTAAGAATACTTCTTAAAAAAGAAGGGGAATCTCCCAAAAAGAAAAAAACAGGAGGACGATTCACATTCTATTGTCACCTGATCGACGAAAATCTCTCGCACATTTGGGTCTGACTTCCAGCCAAATCCGTAACTCATCCAACTACACCCATTGAAGACGAATGAAACTGTTTTGGAAGACATGCAAAGTTCAGTAAGTTTTCTCCGGGGTTGCATGAGAAGACTATCGCAAAAATATATTCAACAAACTCAGCATGGCTCGTCGTGAATTAATTTGGCTGGTGAGAGCACCAAGTCCGAGCGGGTTCATCGAGATTTATAAAAACGTCAGGTTTGAAACCCTACATTTGCATCAGATAACGCATAAGTAGTATACACTTAATTAGCTTTGCAAATTATGCGGAAAAGAACTTCTTTTTCTCAGCAGTTTGCGTATAACCACAGCCTTACCTAAATGCTTATATGGAACATAACAGTCGATCTGTACAACGAATGTAAGTTCTGTTACATTTAAACTGCAGCAGTGTACCACTAAAAATAACCAAACAGAAGTATTTGTGTACACGGCATTTTCACCCTGTGTACATATTAAACGGCGCCGATTCTACCCATGCAGAGTGAGGTTTTCAAAAGAAATTTTAGTTAACAAACTTGCTTATAGATTTAGGCTACAAATAAATGCCTATCCTATTAGTTTTTCACCGATGGAAGTTATCAACAACGATTGATTTAAATCGTTCTTACAAAGAGCACACAAGTTTGAAAAAGCATGCCCAAATCATTTAGTTCTATACATGCTATAAAAAGGTTTAAATAGTTGAGCATCGTGAGAGCCCCGGCTTAATTTCTGTTGAATTAATTGAAATTTACGAACCTACTGGGAACCCAAACCATTGTAATGCTAGTCTGTCAAAGGTCTCGAGTATCTTTACAATTCGTGCCATACAAAGGATTTCCCTTTTCCCGATAGTATTTGATAGATGAATGATTCCTATATGCTTTCTAATTCTGTATTGCAAACCTTTTAGCTGGAAATTAGAGTGTAGACTGCTATTCAAAGACTGAATTAGAATGAGTGGGAATCCGTAACAACGGAGCATCGACTTGAATACTCTATGGATTCTTAGCTGAATTTTTAATGAAGAGAAAGACTTCAGTTAATATGCCGTTTAATAACATCAAAAGGGTTTGCGGTGAGGAAACCTATCTACTTAATGCCTACTGTATATTCCAGTTACATTTTATCAGAATATATAGAACACTGGGGTCAGTTCCAGTATAGTGGCAGTTTACGATATCGTTATTTTCTCATAGCGTCAAAGCACTTTTGATGGCTTGGCTAATTACAGGTTAACTATCACTATCAGGTAAGTTATTTAGGTCACTCTTGCCTTCCGCTCTTTTTAGCAGAGTGCATTTTGTCCCGAATGCTTACCTCTCTGTGATTGACTCATATCTACTTCACTAACCAAATCGTTCAAAAGATACTCTTTATTGCTTTGATTCTGGGTTTTTTAACTGATACACATCTCATTTGCAGAAGCCGTTTTATCGTAAAGTTTAGCGCCAAATTGGACGGCAACCAAAATGTAGGTGGTTCCTATTTTGGGAAAAACCATATTTTCCTATTTGAATACTGTTCATGGTGACTAATTTCTGAATTATACCAACAACATATGCATTGCAGATAAACATTCAGAAATGAATGGCAGGTTCCGAAACTTTTACATCAGATGGATTAGCTTGGAAGTCGTTCGATATTACAACCCCATAGCGCTCAGAGCAGTTGTCCTATATCCCGAGATTCCTCCTAGAACGAAGTGTGTCCATACGTATGCATATATTTACACAAAGGAATTTTTCTGTCATCTGATCAGGATTAGAGTACAAAGAGCGGAACATGCACGTGTATGCACTACTTTCAACCCACTCTCTGGACGACATTTTTCCTACGCGTAAGGTGAGAAATGAAGCTAGCAACTAAGCTTTTTTCTTTTTAAAACGTAATGGAAACATTTCTGAATATTTCTCTATTCCCTGCGGTAGGAGTGTGAGAACAGTTCGATTGCGGCTGTCTAGTGCCCATTTTCATCGAATTGAACGTTGAAAATCTCTTCTGAAAAACGACGTTGGAACAAGTGCATAATCTATGTCCTACACATGTTAACTAGAATCCTTGTCCTTCATATCGACCAACCTGAGAATTATCTTTGCCCAAAACTTCACTAATGTCGCATACAAACCGTTTCCTAATAATGAGGTCAAGGAAATGTGGTATTTCGTGACCTTAAAGTAACAGACTGTAACATCCACGTGAAGCTTATGCTTGCAGCTGATAGTTGTTCCATTCAACTTAAACTGGTAAATGAGTTCATTAAAAATGGCATTTGAATGATATCAATTGAGAAATGGAGTTCAGGCAGTGTAATTTAGGTGCTGAAGGGTAATTTTTTTAAATAGTAAGTAATAATGAAAAATAAAATGGTAGACACAATTAAGTTCGTTAAATCTTGAGCGACTCCAGCTATAACGGACGTTTTGTTGTTTAAGATTTTATCAACAAAGAAAGCTTATGATATGGGACTGATTTCGATCGGTTCAATTCGATTATCTTTCCAGGAATTGCAATCTTCCTTACGGAGACAAGCGTAACAAGGCCCGTTTTGACGTTTTTTCTGACCTGATGTTTTGGAGGACCGTTCATTTTTAGATGAGCTCCAGTGATTGAAAGAGAATTTTTTTCAACCTGTGGCTCCAGATGAAAAAACCTATCTGCATATGCAATAAATTAAACAAAACGAGTCCCATCCTTCAACCAACGACGCTGGTACCTTTGACAGCTTACAGATGTGCTTATCTCTTTCAAAGAATGCAACCGTTTTTTAAACAACTTCAGATTTTCAAGGAAAGGTCAGTGCCCAAATTATGGAACGATTGATATATTTAAGCAGGATTGGACCTAAGATGCCGGCTTTGAGCAGCATGACTTCCTTTTCCCGGCATACTTCTCATATGCATCCGAACAAACAACTTAAAGTACATTAATTTATAGCCACAGAGAAACAGTTTCATCACAAATTGTATCAATTTTTTCCATAGTTTTTACGGTTGACACTTCTGAAAAACTCTAGCTGAGCCCTAGTGACAACGCCGTATTATGGTTGTTGAAAATACAGACTCCTCTCGTATTTAGTGACATACTGATTTTCTTTCGCATGCCGCGCAATACATAGCATGTCTGATTAAAAAGCCTAAAGATAATTTAACTTATCTTTCCTGGTCTTGCTGAGGCTAATACAAGACGGTTGCTCAAAATCCCAAGACAGATCATGGTGTCGTGAACGCGTCAAAAACTACCCCTGATTAGCCAGAGCTTCGTCAAATAAAACAATCTACAGTGGTCTTACCCAGCCTGCTGATTATCAGATAAAATATTTTTCAAGTGTGAGATGAACGATTATTGATTGGAAAACTAATCTGAGTGTATGTAGCTTTCTGTGCGTCTGTACTTGTACAACTACTGAAATGAGTCTCAACAAAGGCCTAAATACCGGATTTTATACAATATACTAAGTAACTGTCAGCAGACAGGCTGCTTAGGGTTTTTGGTTTCAGAGTATATGTATGCACGCAAATTTTCAAGTTACTTCAGATTTTCTAGGCTACACTACTTGAAGAGCAATAAAGGGCGAGTCTCGTACAGGGGTCTTCGCGTACTCTGAAAAACCATCACAGTCTGCTTATAATGAAATCAAAGACCTGCTTTGCTAGATTAAATAAAATTCGAGGTTCACTGCTCCTCAAATCTCTCAGCACTTTTCATGGAAATTGCCAAAATATTTGAACTGATTCTCCTCGTGATTGATCGGTGGGTAGAGTTTTCAGGTTTGAACAAGGACAGAAAAGACGAATTGTTTATTTCAAAGGTGTTTGGAGTGCAATACCAGACAAACTTTCAATGGAACAAAATGTTAAAAAGCATGTTATGTGAAGGAGGTTTCTCGCAAGTCATTTTGTTTTTGTGGTGCGGTATGATTAAAAACTGTTCAGGTTTAAGTAATGTGTTTGGAAATATAAGTATTTGAGCTACCCTACCAAGCTTAGCTGCGCGAAGATCATTTGAACATAGCTTTCATGGTGGGAACTACATATACAATCTCACGAGTTTGTAACGTGGGAAATGCTTGATGACAAATCCAGTAATCCCAGGCATCGCTGGCTTTGTGTGTTTCATTTGTTTAGCTGCCAAATACTGCTCATGCGGAAATTTAAGGACTCATATTTAACTTACTAGGTGCACAAATTATGAGGCGAAATTTCGCCTGTTGACCACAATGCACTGATTCAGCTAACTTAACAGACAAGCTATACCAGCTTTTTGGCTGACAGTCGAGGCCATGTACTTTTTTAACCAACGGCATTATTTCGTTTGAAACTATCAGGCTCATTTGGACCTAGTTTGTAGATAAACCATAAGCGTTTATTGGATTTTGAGATGCCATTCTCGATGCAACTATCGAGCAGCTGGAAACATCTAATGACCCTTGGTCTGTGTGAGGGCAACGATGAAGGAAACGTATGCAGTGGTGTCATACTGCGTTATACTAACAAATTTCTGTCAATTTATGGGGTTTTGATTGTTTTCGGTCGCATCACCTTTTATTTGATTGTGGTTAATCTATGTAATCACACATCACCCTCAATAACGTTACTTACTTTCTTGTAGGTATCTTCATAGAAAGTGGTATTTAGTTAGCACGATTCGGACAACCAGTTAAGGAATGAACGTATGGTACTACTTGTCAGCATTTTCGCGGAGTGATTAGCCACCAGTCATTGTCTGACCCTCAGAACTGAGTGCCTTATTTTATAGCCTGCGTAATAAAGCCTTTTTACGAGTCAACGCTACAATCGGAACTGAGGTGATTTCTTGACCTAATCGTGAACTGATCACGTACGTTAATTTTGCTTTACCAAATGAACTGTTGAGCAAAAAAATTTAAGTATTTATGCTTTATTTCAAAATAACCTGAAGACGAAGATGGTTTGAAGTGAGATCAGAGCTGAAAAACATTTATGCTTTGGGGTTCTTGATCATTTAACACCAACGTGTTCATGATTTACCTCGGCAGAATACATTGTTGGACATGGTTAAAGACCTCACCGACGAATGAACCTGATAGGGGACCGAACTTGTAAAAACGTGGTGATGACTAATTGATTACTTCAGTTTTCTTCAGTAAGACTGCCACTTACAATATTGTGTGATCATAAAACCCTTTAAGCTCAGAGGGATGTTGGAAGTAGGCAGAAATTTCAGTGTGCCTTTTGGCCTAAGTTTACTCCTACAAGTCTACTTATGTGAATCTGCCCGCCACATCACAACCCACATTCTGCATCTATCCACCAGTATGTAACTGAACTGAGTGCAAATGCGTCCAATATTTTTGGCACTATCATGCAGATTGTCTGAAACATGTGCGTTGCTAATACAAGTAATTTGTTCACAATACTGATATCTGTACGACTGTATGCTTTAAAGACCGCTCAACTATTCTGAGTTTGTGAAACCCTCCAATATGAGAGGGCCTGGAATTTCTGAAGAATAATCCCGTTCTACGTTTTCGTCATCCATAGGTTCTAAATTTCTTGAAACATTAACTTGTGGTTGGGCGTAGGGAACAACATGTTCAGAAAAGCCGCTAATTAATTTTAAAGCATGGTCACAAGTTTAATCTAAGCACAATTCTATAAAGAGGTTCGCGGGTTGGATATATTATAACCTATTATAAAGTGCATATCCATTGCTTTTCGAAGAAATTCTACTCCTTGTCTGATGTTTTCTGTACTTACAATGTTAAACGCCTTTATAGATCTTGCCTTCCACGCAATATTGTTTTGTAAGTGGAAGTTAACCAGTTTCTTCCGATTTAAAATGACAGAACAAACTTGTAATCTTTTTTATAATAGGTAAGCAGCTCAAAGACGTATCGACTGCTTGAGGGCATGAATTTTTCGTTTCCACTCGTGACGGTGTAAAATCACTCGCAATATTTTGACCTTGTTACAAGAAGAACTCGCGTTTCCTAAGCTACAGTAAAGCTTATGTTTGGATAATGAATGAGAGATACTGAAAGATACCTGAAGAATGTTTAGACATTCTCAGCAATATACCATGCCCCATTTGGTTCTTATTTAAAAAATTATGTTCAGACTTCTAAGCCTCGTGGCTTTTAATTAAAAAATCTAAGTCACTAATCACGGTATAATATTCTGGTAACTTACTCATTGGGTTTTGGGTAACGTTTCAACTCATGCGTCATGATTTTCGACGCATCCTCCGGCTCTGCTGATATACCGATACCACGCTTTCTGGGCTTAATGGAAGGTGTTGTTCCTCCACCAAGGCCATCACTAATGAGATTCATCTGGTTTGTTTGTCTGGAAAATACGCTCTGATATTTGTCCAATAATCCTGTCAGGTCCGCAATCCGGGTGTCTCTTGCCAACAGCTCACTTTTCAGTGCGGCGATCTCGGCAGTCTGCTTTTCTACCAATTGTTTAAGATTGTCTGTCGACATTTTGCTATAACAAATACAGTGGTTTGTGGAAGAACACTTCTGAAGCAATATGCCCTTGAGAAAATATATCGAGGATTCAGGTGCGTCTCAAACCCTTGTGAGTTTTGTAGAGTCTACTGAATGAATGGTTGACGTATGACGAGTAAACAGAACAGATATTTTGGTGAACCATCCAAACAGTCCATTTGTGGGGGGATTGAGGGGTTCAAACAGGGTGAGGTTCATGAAATCTAGAAGCAGTGGTGCATCATCCTGTAAGTATAAAAATACAGTGAAGCTTTATCGCTTCTGAATGTGGAACCGCCTTGGTGTTTGTTCTCATAAAGTGAACGACTGTTCAATACAATTCCTAGAACATCTAAGCCAGGAAGTGTACTTCTGAACCAATGATATCTTACTACTTACTCGAGAGATCAGCCAATCAGGTTGGAGCGTTCTGCATCCAATGCTAATGTGCATACTTCCCTGGTTATTCATTGGTTGGAGCTAATTACGATTTAGAAGACGTAGTCAGTTTAACTGATCATTGTCCCACTTATTTAGAAAGTGTGATAATGTAGTACCTAAGACGTAAAGCCACACAATTAACAGTTTTCACTTCGGTGATTATAAGTTCCTCGCACGTATACATGTTTGCACACTTAAAACCCAACAAGTTTATATAAATAGCTGGAGCACTGGTTAACAGGTTTTTAGTGTATCCATCGTTAGTTGTTGTGCATAAGGCAATCTATGAAGCGGTTTGTAGCAAACGGCCAATTCGGAAACATTATCAGGCGAGCTATATGGTCTCAAAAAGCGAAATTTCCGTCTGTCCATCGTTCAAGGATGATAGCATTGGAAATCAACGTCATTACTATGCCAGATATGTCTAGCTACAGTCATCAGTGATTCACATAATCAAGCGTGCTGTCAGAAAGTGTCCAAGCTACTTGCGTCAAATGCAGCCTACCTGTTTATCTGTAGTGTGATAACCCACATTTATTGGAAGGATGGAATTCGTTAAAAAGTAGTAGTCAATCACATCTCGGAATGAAATTCCCCAAGAATTTAGTAGCTACCACACTCAGACACCATCGATCGCATATGGTGTAACAGACTGGTGAAGTTCACTTTTCATCGTGCCATAATAATCTGGCCGGAGAATAAAAGGTTTCTGCATAGATTATGGCAAAACGTTATACCATCCGTTATGTGGACACAAATCCTGATTATCATAAATTTGTGTACTCCGTATAATTTGGTGTAGAAGCACAACCAATTACAAATAACTTATTATAGTGACAAGGCAATCCCTGCTGAGCACGCTTGTTGAGAAGAACAAGCCTGTCATCTGAGTTAAGCGAACCTAAAAGAATCCAGAAGAACCATAATTGAGGGTTGAACATACGTATGGTGTTGTTCTATCTCTGAAAGGAGTTTGCAGATTTGGTCAGTACAACATTTACTAGTCTGAAATCCCACTTGCTGCTCTCGATAAAAAAATTCACGGACAACAATAGCATGACAATTGACTCGTGCTCCAACACTCGTGTGAGACAGGGCTACAACTGGTCTCAGTGTAGCTTCACACTCAACAGACAATGTATTTTTTAAATTAACACTATTATCGATTTTCTTTGTTGTTCGGGGCAGTACATTTTCCCCAGTTTCAAGGAAGTGGATCGAGGAAGCGACAAATGATAATTCTATAACCATTTCGAACAGTGCGGGTGGAACGTATTCCAGAAAGTTCTCAATGGTGCTTCACCGGACATGTGAACTAATAAATTTCTGAGGGAGTAGAGGACCCCAGATTCATCATCCAGTTCAACAGTCTTACTAACTGGCAACACGTAAGTACGTGCACGTTCGGCCCAAAAAGCAGGTTGCCCTTTATTTAAAATGATCGCGCCAATCTGATTCTTGACGGTTTGACACGCCAGTGATTTCCAATAACGGATTGCACCAATCAAACATGATAATCATGGGTTGTTTTTTTAAGCCTCTTCCATTTTCTTATTTATCCGTGTCTATCTTACTTCAATGTTGGTGTGCACGCTGAGTTACACTTGACATTAGACTATTCCTGAGCCCAATTACACTGCCAAATTGCAGAACCGTTTCTCCGTGCCACTGCTCTGCTGATAAACGGTGGAATAAACACTTCGTGAGTGTTACACGGAACCCTTCAGTATAGCGCAATGAATCATGGAAGGCTACCACACCAAGGTGATGTCCATTCTCTCCGTGAGGGATCCTTCAGTGTTGTGGGCACGTGTTGACTCCCACTCGACACACGGTACGTCTCACATTATTTAGGGTCGTGTTCCACAAAACCGATTCAAAGCTGTCAGACAGTGTATTCTTATTGTTGTTGATTTCTTACACCCAAACTTCGCGCACAGAAATCTGTCCATTACTTCAAGCTAAAATACCCCAGCGTTCGCCCCACGTCCAACGACAGCAGACACCGGGCGATGTCTCCCGCCCAACTCATCCCATCCCATATTCGCCTTACACTTACTGTTACACTTCTGTTACAATTCCGAGTTTTGTAAACAACTGAAGCAGCCACGATTTAATCAGCTGACCTACTACTTCTGTTGTTTTCCCAGTAAAAAGTCTGGTTCAGAAAGAGACCTGTGCTGACCATCCATGTGTCAATCACAGTCATAATCATCTGCACCTAACTGCCTTACCTTATATCGTTGGGAAACAAAATTTTCTTTTTCGATACTCGGCCAGGAATATCCGTAGGAATTTCAAACTGGTGGGGATTTCCACAGAGTTCTTACTCATTTGCTGGAGAAAAAAGACAGCACTGAAAATGAGAATAGATAATTTTGATGTTATTTAGTTTGCCGTCTGCCTTAGAGTGAAAAGGCGAAACGTTAGGGGATTGCTGTCCTTGTTCTAGACGTCTGTGCTGAGATTTTTTGGGCTCCTTTAGGTCACTAGTTGTCAGACACATTCCAATGGCTTCTCTTTTTACGACAAGTTTTGGGATACTCCAACGTATTAACGCAGAAAGGAAGGAATCGTAGTGTTCCATTCAAGCGCATTCTGTAAGACCTTTTTGTTGAATTTTACGAAGTATTCGGAAGGGTTTAAGATCAACGAAGCGGCAAATTAGAGTCTCAAAAGGCTAAGGAAGCCAGCGTCTTCCGGTAGGGGCGTCACAACCACAAAACTACTTTACCGTTTGCAAGCACAAACTATGCGTCAAAAATAAAACGCCGACAATAATTTGCGACTCAGCAAGCGGTCGGCCGATTACTTGCACGGCTAGACTGCAAGGAAGAAAGTAAACTGGTTCCCTTTGACTGTATAGTCATTAAACCAACCAGCTCCCAGAACGTACAGTTCTCTTCGGACGGTTTAACAAGCTGAGGTTATCGTCACCATGAACGAACAACTGCGCCGTCAGCTTTGTTTGTTAAGGATCGAACAACAGTCAATCTGATTTAATGCTGATGACCGACAGATTACGTGAAAACCAAATATATTGCAAAAATGACGTTTGACAAATATTTTCAGCAGATTTTAGAAGCCCAAATCGTATCAGCCGTTATGGATGTCCCTAAAAACAACGTTAAAAAGGTCATCTAATATGGAGACCATCGTGACAAGCAATAACGTGAGGTATGTGCTGTGGCTAAGATGGTAAGTGGCACATCCCACTGACTATCGTGTGAACTGTGGGTAAAACCGATGAGGTCATTTAGCCGGTTGGCTTGTGAAACACATCTTAATATGGTAGTCTACATAATGGAAAACAATCAACCCCCGAATTATATTTAACGTTTCACCCACCTTCTGATAGGGACCTCCCATTGTAGGCTGCAATCATCCAGGTTAATTCAAAACGGGACGAAATATGGCAAGTGCGCGGAGCATCTCGGGGTGTTTTTTAATAGTACACTTGAGTTATCTGGGTTTTTGTCAAGGGTTCCTAGAAACCAGAGTAGAGCGGAATGAATCTTTCTTGAATCGGTTTTCTATCCAAAAGATGCACTCTTCAGCCAAAGGCTACAACTTAGTTGAAAAACGGGTACACGGAGAACGTGACTAGACCTACACTGGGCGTGAAATTGCCTCAGGCATTCCAAATCATTTGGTGTCCCAGTGCTGTTTTATCACGCAAGAAACCAGGTTTATTATCCCATAATATCAAAACCGAAAGTTGCGAAGTTCCTCAAAATTTTACTCGATTGAACATACTGGCAGAGCATTTACAACAACCAACTTGTGCAGCCTTTTCCAGTAAGGTCACACTTCTCCAGGTTTCCCGTTTTAGCTACTTGAGTGGGATTTAGGCGTCTTTCTTTGCTCGTCTTGCCGAACAGTTTAGTTACAGACGCTTGGTGCCCAATCAAGGAACCGTCATTGCGCAGCTGGGTACAATCATGACATCCGACTGGAAGTTTGAAACCAAGCTACAAAGTTCAGCGAACCGGATTTGATCTCCTACATATTATTCACTTTCATTCATTGATCAAAACTGGCCATAAGCATTTGTTCTATGACCCCATGTCAAAGCATTTAAAACGTGAAAGCGCAGTTAGAAAGAACGTCATATACGAGCCATATGGACCAATTTCAGCCATTTGCTCCAGACAAATGACTGCATTTCCAAGTAGGGATTTAGCAAAATAACCAGAAAACTGTTTTCACATTCAGGATTTGGTACGCACTAAAACAATTGGGAATTCTGTCCTCTGTAAGTAGGTTGATTTTTTAAATTGACGACAAAAGCCTTGAAGTGACTCTGTAGTACCAGCTTTCTTCAGACCCGTGACCCGCTTCATTTGAAGAAAGTGTTTTACGATTATATTTAGATTTATCCTCAAGTCACTTGCCCAACTGTAGCCTTCGGTGTTCCTGCCATTCCGAAAAACAGTGAACAAATTATACACCAGTCAATTTTTGCCTAATTTACTGAGCATTTTACGTTTTTCTTGATACAGATCCTGCAGCTTTCATAAATGAACTTTGGTATGCATTTTTGGGTTTTACCGAAGTAATTGCAAATATCTGAAAGCCAATGAAGCCTGACAATGACAGAAACGTTTATATTTTTCTTCCTATGAAGAATGTCACAAAAACCGGATGCCTTATCCAGAAGGAATGAGGTTAGCGACAGTTGAGGGCAGTGTCATGCCAAATGAACCAAAGTGACCAATATTAAGGTACCTGCCGAAACGCACCGTTTACAAAGAGATATCCTGGTAAGGACGCAGTATTTTCCGTATTTGATGCTCTTGAGCCGCCTACTCTGGTTTAATCCAAAATCACAGACACTGAACAGTCCAGAATATAAA